AATAATAATAATGCTTCCACCTATATGAAAGTTCTAGAATAGGCAAAACTAATAGATGAGAAAAAATTCAGAACAACAGTTGCCTTTGGGGAATGGTGGTGGGGAACACCTGTAAAGGAGCCCAAGGGTGCTTTCTGGGGGTGTTGGTCACGGGCTACCTCTTGGTAGAGGGTGGTGTATGCAATGGTCAGAACTCATTGAATGGTCCACTCAAGACCTGTGTATTACTTCAAAAGAAAAAAAGAACTGTAAATACTGGACTCTAGGTAATATTCAGAGGGAAGACTATAACTTTCTGCTACTTACTTTAAAATGCATCATAAAAATACTGAAAAATGAACAGAATAGATGAACAGAAGTGTGAAACATAAGTATAGTCAAATATCAATGGCAGAACCTAGGGTGTGTATACAAGTAGGTCTTCAGTGTAAAACTGTGTCACCTTTTGTGTTTGAATTTTTCATAATAAAATGTTTCAAATATATAAAATTGATTCGGCACATTACATTTATACAAATCCATGTGTCCATAATGATACTTTAAAAAAAAACCTCATTTGCCACCATTGGAGATGTCTACATCCCAACTCCATACTCTGAAAATTACTGGGTTGTCGGAAAAGTCATGACGTATTTTTTTGTTTTTCGCTGCATTTTAAATTCGCTGTATTTTAAAAGGTACTGAAGCACACCTAGCTGATGTGGGGAATCTCTACTATAAATTCCATCTAACAGAGATAAGCAGCAGAAACTCCCCCCTTCTCCCACTGGGGATCAAGATAGTCATTGTTAAAATATCAGCCCGTGGGAAGTGTCTCTGGACATGCACACACCCCTCAAATGCACCTGTCTTCAGCAAATTTCCTGCATGTAAATTTCCAACTGCTGTCTTCACCTCATCGTTTAAAACTCGGAACATAGGTGTACCTCTGCTCTAGGGGGCTGCCTCACTTATCTTCCTCTACTCCAAGTGGCAGGACCAGGAGAAACCCCTGATGGGACTCACTGGACTGTGGCTGGCTCTAACCACCACATTTGGCCCATCTGTAGTACACTCATCCTGGGCCCTTCTCCTACACCAGGCCTTGGTGGTGATGCCTCCTGATTCAGGTGGACAAAGTGAGTAAGAGTACTCATCATGTGAACTAAAACGAACGTTTAAAAACTAGAACCAACGCTCCTTTGTGGGGCAACAAAACCTACCTCTTGCAACTCTATGTGAGCCCAGATCTGTCAACCAGGCCAGCCTCTCCGAAGCCAGCTGCTCTGACCTTAAATACCAGGGAATGCATCTCATTAAGAAACACAGAGATCTGGATGAGCAGAAACCTCCTTTTCAAAACTTTTAGCCAGAAACACTGCTAGCTAAGGAGAAACCATAACACGCACACACAACACTCCACTGCCCCCTACCAACCTAACTAAACAAAAGCTATGAACAGCTGCACAAAACTGCTCCTGCAACCTTGTTCATGATTCAAACCTGGGCACAAGCCTAATTTTTACTAGGCCAAGGGAGGTATGAGTGGAGAGTGAAGGATCACGATTTTAAACATAACCTGTGTGGTTTGAGATGTTCTAATATACAGGAATCAGGTTTCTTTCTTTTGTTCTCAAAACCAGCCCATCCACCGCATGGAGTTACAGAAGTTTAAACCACAAAACATATGCTTGCAATGTGATGACCATTTTTCTGACCTCTTGGTAATCAGAATGACGTTCATGGCACTTACTGCTAGGAAAGAAACATGCCCAAGTCAGCATGTGTGGATCAGAAAGTGTTAGAACGAACCTATGCCTAACAGGTATAGTCCCATCTATCTTTGAGAGTGGGTCCCCTCCTTCCAGAATATTTCACAAAACCTTACAGCTATCCCAGCAACTCTGGGGAATTGTCCTGAAGCGGGTGCTGGTCCTAAAAAGACTTTGACATGTACAAGGACCCAACCCAGCTCCTGGTTTCGTCACCTCTGGAACTATCCTATCCTGGGGATATGAAAGAAAGCGATACACACGTGCTACTCTTTAGTGACTCCGTCATCATTTACAGATTCGCATCAAGGACACATAGAAAATGATTTTAACAAAGCAACCCAGGCAGAAGATGCCAATCTCAAATCTAGTTATGGACACTACTCTGAGAAAAAATT